TTTGTGATAATGAGATGCTCAATCGAATCAGTTTGTTTTTCATGGTGTTCCCAAATGGCTTTATGCCACAAGGACTACCTCGGGAATCATTTGGACTGTATTCTTGGTATCAGCGTGTGGTTTCATATCAGTTGTATGGGGGGAGTGATTGAGTCATCTTCCAGCAAACTTTTGTTCTCAACATACCATCTATTTGGAGACACGTCAGCTGTTTTCCTAATGCAAATGTCCCTTACATTGTTAGGTTCACGAGAGTAAGGTGTGTGATGGTGGTCAACTGGTGCTGTCTCATTCCATACCGGTTTGACGCTCGCCTGCACAATCACTGATCAGCGCTTTTGTTCATATCCTTATTCAGAGCATTGCTCATTTTTTGTAGCTGAAGTGTTACTCCATGCATTCGTTACTCAGCCGCTCTTCTATTTAGGTGCAATCAATCAACCTGTATCTGCCATCGTAGTGCATTACTTTGATGGTTAGTATAGTTGTCTTCGTAGAATATGACGATTCTTTCGCCGTTTGCTTAACCAATTTTATACACTTTTTCGTTTTCCTTTGTACGTTTCGTTTTCGTTCAAGTGTGGACAATTACTTTTGTGGGCGCAGTGTCGGTAAATCCACCTATTAATAGGTTTGGGTGCATCGGCAAACCGTTTCCGAAATCGAGCTCGGTCATCTGAGTTGGACTCAAGTGGGAAAATGACTCATGTGATTGGTTTCATTGAGTACTATGATGGAAGAAGCTTGTTGGTATTCATCCAGTTATGATTGCTATGTTCCATTGGGGACTATTGTTAGACAGACTCAGGCCTGCCTTTCGAGATGTGTCTCTTTTTATCTGTCTAGAGCGTTTGTCTTTAAGTGCTTCATTATAATTCACAGAACAAAAACATGACCTGTGGCTCACTGAGAATCCGAAGCTTTAAGAACTAATGATCCATTCATAACAAGTGCACTGTATTTCCATAACGATCCTCTACTCTACGACCGAATCTGTTTCTTTTGAAAGTGGTATAATGAGCGGGCAGTGTATTCACACAAGAGTGCACGTCACTTGTTCGATAGTGTACGGATGTACGCACATGCTTCTAGCTAGGCGTTCCTTGACTTCTGTGTTGATGAACAATACTCCTGTAACCGTTTTGTCCAGCTCAGACTAACAATTACACCAGCCGGCAAGAGGTTGATGATCAGACCAAAAGTTGGGCTAAAGTGAGAGGTAAGTGTAGCATAAAAGTATGAATAAAGCAAATCATGATATAGCTCAGGTAGCATAGTTAGGCGTTGGTTGGTTCGCTGAGCTGGGCAATTCGATTGCAAACTTTCAACACCAATCGAAGTGACATCATCAGTGCGTTGTTACGGAGCGTGGTGGAGCGTTAGCGAAGGGCTGTTGGTTGTGCGTCGAGTAAAGTTGTGTTTGTCTTAATACGCATGCTTCTAGCCAAGTGTTCGAACTTACACAGTTGATCGTTTTTAATCCTTTCAGTAGTTTTTACTTGTTAGTGTTACGACCACTATTTTTAGTTATTTATTTGAGAGCTTCTTGGGCAATTTTACCCCCTCTGGTTGAACGAGGTAGGGGAATATGATTGACATTGTACAGATGCAAGACATTAACAAGTTTCTACTCCGTGGAATCTATCTTGTTCAAGTGATGTGAATGAAACATGTTTTCGGAATCCTGAAACTAACGAATTCAGTCGAAATGACTAGCCAATAACAACTTTACAACGCGTGAAGTTTTCAGTGGGTAAGCCATAACAGTGTTTGAAGATACAGCACAATTGCACTGTGGGGTTTGATGTAACTTCCTCGCTGTGATGCTTATTTTAAAACTCTCAGCACAACGTTTCTTTGGGTGGAAATTTATATCTCTGCACTTTTTTGTGCCAATTTTGGTAGGCCAATGGTGTCTTGCGGGCAGCGTTTCAGTGAGCAACCTGTGGATTACTTATGGATAACTGTTAAACATATTTTTGTGTCACTATCGACGTCTTCGGTACGACTTCCAGCTTTGAGCTGAACCACTCATCCGTACGTAACTGCCATCCGTCAAAACCTTGTTTTCTCCACCAAAGTAGATTTAGTGCATTGGATGAATAAGTTAGCCGGATTGGACTCTTAAGTAAACGTTTTCATAAATGCACGGCGACTTCCTCCCAAAAGATGATGGGTTGGCTCCAAATCTACCCTGATTCGCGGTTGCATATGATGACTGGTATCTTCCCGTTTGTGTTTCGTTGCTTCATTCGGCAGATCCCACGGAAACCCAGCAGTTCTACTTCAGATTCAATTTTTGTAACCCAGGTTTTCACCTGTTTTCCAATGTCACAGCACCACCCGAGCAAGTCAGTGGCGGCAGAGACATTATCATATAATCAGGATATGATGATCTATTTCGTCGAATTCTGTTTTCAGACCATACAACTGTTCTAATACGTAGCACATGATTACCCATCCCCCCACTACTTTCTAGAAACTGTGGTTGTGTGTGCAGTGACGGAGTCAACATTCGAAAATCAGGTGGTTGGTTAATCATTCCGCATCCCGTCTCCATTTTTCCTAAAGTCCTTTTCTTTCAAATGTCCAGTTGGAAAGTTAGTCACATAATGCGTCAAAGCTCTCCGTCCCATACTTACAAAAAGTGACTTCACTGATCACAAGCACAACGACATAAAGGCAGTGACATAGTGATTCTACTTGCTGCGTTTGGTTCTTGTCCTATTCGCCTACCAAGCGTTCCAGCTTCAAGATATATGGGATTTCTGCGGCGCAAAAAAATGGTAACGCTCTGTTTGCCTCGTATCATACGGAGAGCAAGGAAAGTTGGATTCCATTCAACCTCCCCTCAATCCACTCACACTGGGAAGATGGTGGATCAGTGAGGAGTCTCTCTTTTAAAGTTCACCTTTGTCTGTCAAAGTACTGCGATTTCCGGACTTCCACAGTGTTCCTATCTGTCATATCTTTCCGGACCGATTTCCACGCTTACTTTTGCTCGGCGAATAATGCAAATATATTTTGAGTGCAAAGTATCTTCAATGCCAAATTCAGAATTAATACGTCCTAGTTTCCGAAATCCGCTATATGAGTTACTGTTAGACTCGTTTGATTGTCAGAAAGAAATCAGGATCCACTGACAATCCTCTCCCCTTTATTTTTCTAACGGTGAGATGCGTTCTGCACACGTCCTCTCGTTGTTGTGAATAATAAATCTGCAATCTGGGGATGACAGCCCAAAATGCTTTTCAAAGGGCCAAATTGTTCATCATTTATCAGAGCAGTAGAGTCCCTGTCGATTTTTCGCGCAAAGCCTTCGTCGTTCCTGTCTCAAATTGCGGTTTTCACTCCACTGTTCCGTGGAAGTGCCGCTTGAAGTCGTCAGACTTCCACAATATTTGACATCCAAACCCTCAATTTAGTTTTACTTCTATAAGAAGATATGTATGGGCATTTGGTAATACCACGAATTTTCGGGGTCTCGAAAGAGGAAACAACCCATATTTCCCTTAGTCGACTATGAAGTTTACAATAAGAAATGGTATCCACATACTTGTTTGGATTTTTGTAAGGGAAACATAACAGCCAGCTCTTCATGTGAAAGCATCAAGCTATTGTTCGTACCAATTGATGGCATGCCCATTGCCGCTTGTTTTCACCCGTTGCACAGTGCTTCAGCCGGCTAGGAGTTTAGTCCACCTTTTTTGGAGCGATCCATGCAAAATACAGATTGCTTGTTGTATTCACTTGAGCTAGGCAGGATCGAAGATTGTTTATAAAATGCTGTCTTCTCTAAAATAATTTCCAAGTTACCGTTTTCGGAAAAGTTTGTTAACAATCGGTAGACTCATTGCTGGGCAGCGTTTCGCTTTTGACACAAAATTTTCGTCAGGCCAGGTGACTAGGTTACGAGATGGTCGAGATTGTAAAACGGCTCCTCTACAAATGCTTCTTTCGAAAGGCTACCAAACAAGGGTAGAAGTAACGTTCTTTCCACTGTGAAATGTGATATGTGGGAATCAAAAACATGTTCTTCAGGAAACTGGCAGCAGTGATGTGTTTCACAGTTCACTCAGGCGCTACGCAGTGCTTAACAATCTACCTACTCGAGGTGTATCGGTGGTCAGGGTAAAGAATTTTGATCGTAGTATCCATGCTTCGAACCCAACCGTGGATTTTCGATTGCTCCTGTCCGAGTTTGGGCAATATTGGCAGTTTCTGGGCGCTCGTGTTCCCTTGCGTTTACAAGCCTGCTATGCACCGAAAGCGTGCTACAGCTGAACGTGGACGTCTAGCAGCCAATCGCTCAAAATGTGATTGTCAAACTTTTGAGTGATCACATATATGTATAAATTCGTTTTTTTTACCCGAAAGGAAATTTGGTGTCGTTTCCTCTGTTTCATACTGAGCAATCAACCACTGGATTTGTGATAGACCGGCCTCGGGATAAGTCTCTTTGATTGCATGTAAAGCGTTCGATGGAGGGAGAAAGACACGTTTGTTTCTTTTGAAGTGGCACGTGGGCGGAAGACCATTTGCTTTTCATTCATCGAGCTCTTTGTTCGGTTATTTTCTCGATTACCCGCTTCGTTGGGTCTGTTGTTTTTGGCTTCCCGATAGCAGCTTTGCGATCCACTGGCCTATCAAAATGAACCGTTTTCAGAGGAAGTCCTTTTTTCAGTTGTGTGCCTTCATGTTATCAAATCATACCGTTTTTTTCACCGGGCTTAGTGCGTCGTGTCCCTAATGGGGTAAAATGTTTGCTAACTAACAAGCTAGTGCCACAACCTGGTCTGGTTTTCATAGTCAAGTGCTTAGTGAGACGTCCTCTTGGCTGTGCGCTGAGTTCCAGTTAGGCACGTGACCTTCGCCAGAGTCTCTTGTACCGTGGCTGCTTCGTTACTTATGATAGTATGCACACTCCTTTATTGTCCCATCCGGAATCTTTCATTCTCATTATAAATTGGTTTCATATTTCACCCCACTCTCATTTGCAGTCGAGGCCTGCGGTTTCAAAATGCTTCCGTGCTACTATCCGGTACCGTTCACTTACTGCGCGATATGAAGTTTTGCTGGTGAGTCGTTTTTAGCCTTTATATCCAATGATATCAATATTCTCGACCACGATGACTAATCATTTGACTTACTCCCCCACCCACTTAGCTCCTGAATATTTTCAATCAGGTTTGTGGGCCGTATAACTGTGTGCTCTCAGAAAGGACAGTTGATTACGCAGATAACAACAAAAACAAACTCCGTAGATGGAACTCTAACTTGTCTCACCGAACTCTCCCACCGAGGTACTAAGTGGGTCACCGCAGACTACGCAATTTTACGGTTGTAGCTGACCATCATTCATCATAGAACTTCACACTTCCCTAAGACGATTGATGATCGTATCGCTCAAGCTGGGACGTCGTCCCGCTGGAAGATGCAATGACGGGAGCCTTTTGCATTTGGTAATCAATCATGCTGGATTTAGCAAAAACCAGCTCAGGTAAAAGAGCCAAACTCATGGTCTCCAGCTAATCGAACAGATGACTGAACAGCCACCAACCGCACGAACGCCATTATATTCTCTGTAGATTATTTTCGTCTCTGTCACATCGGTTATTTACCGTCCGGTTCTTCTTTACTCTTAGGGCATCCGCAAACAAACTGCTATGCGAACAGACTGGGATCTTCCGAGTGAACTGTCTCGACTGTCTGGATCGGACAAATTTGGTCCAATGTCTATACGCCGGGGTCGTTACGACAACCCAGGTAAGTTAGTAAACACTAACAAAACAGTTTATCTATTCCCATATTTCAGCGAGGATATTACAAGTTTTTTGTTGTCCGATCCTCGACCATCGTTGCTCTGCTTTTTCAAGTCGTATTTTAGGAGCTGATTATTTATTTCAGAGTAGTTGTATCGCAGTCAGTGACTGTTCTCTTGCGATGGGACATTCGTCAGCTTCTTCACTTCTGACAATAACTGCAACCGACAATTAAAGCCAAACTAAAATTCCAACATACCAAGGAGTTCGTTGTCAACAGGACTCCTCGGAGGAATCATGTTTAAGTGGTTTTAATGGCAGTGGGTGATTGTGACTTATCTGTAGCAAAACTATTTTCTGGCACAAGAGTCACGTTCTACGAGAAATTCTACCCACATTTCACACATTTCACAGGCGTCCCTATTTAGAATCCACAGGACCCTAACAATGTACTGCACACTGACGTATCAACATAGCCTGCTGATTTATTTTGGGTACCGTGCTTTGTGACTCGCACGAACCCTATTTTTCGAAATGACTCAGAGTTTCCCTTTTGCCATTGCGCTCACATAAGACATATTACGCATTATCACATGTGTTTATTGACTTTATCATTATCGGTAATCAATGAAAAAAGCACGTATCCCATGAATAGAGTCATCAATAACCCTAATTTACTACCTTTGATGAAGTTTAACTAATCAAAAAAAAACAAGTTAACAGTAGTAGTATGTCTCTCACCCTGTGATCTCACCGAAGATCCAATGTTTGCTCTTGTTGTTCTTCGGTTTTCCCCACCTATTGATTTACTTGCATGTTTATTCCCAAAGCAGCCTCCAGTCAGATGGAGTAAAGCGTTTCTCCCGAGTCGTATTCCTTGCGGCTATCTGTATCCTGATTTTGACTTCTTTTGCCTTCGCATTTTGTTTAACCACACTTTTGGCGGGGAACACTGACATACTTCCAGTTCAGATGCAGGATGTACGAGAGTGCCTAGTCACTGTATTTGTAAGATACTACTGTTTTACTTACGAAGCCCGTCTGTTTTTGGTTCACAACAGATTAGACGCTGAGCTATCTCATAACAGATAACATGTTCTCGCTGGACCATTTTTGTCCAGCTGGTTTCGGCGCCGTTTTGACGCCGTTGGATTTAGAAGTCCTGACATGGCTGCAACTAAAACCGTATCACAAGTTATTGTAGGCAACCAAACCGTTCAGGTACTATAATTTAGTCGCGTCACTAGTGCCGCGACTGCAATTAGGTCACGATTGGAGATAACTACTGCTCGTGAACTCTAGTGGAGGCTTCTCGGTTTTCTTGTAGACTGACGAGAATAAGTGCATCAGGACAGGAGGGGAATCAGTTGTATCGTGGGTGGCCGTCTATTGGTTACGCCTGCACTGAGCCTGCCAGATCACGCGATAGGGAGAAAACAGATAACCGGGGACACGGCCGTATTGTCAGGACCAAACATACAGAGCGTCTGCGTAAATATATAGGATGACTAAATGGCCAAATATGGTCGTTCACTTGTTCGTTCTGTACAACCAATGGCAGTGTTCCGGCCGTGAACAGTCTCAGGCCCACTACGCCGGTCGTATGTTGCTAAGCCGTGTTTGGTGCGAGCCCCCAACTCACTTACTTTCCGGACGTGTCGTACCGATAGTGACCTTGGGGGTGCATCACTCTCTGCACTGTGCTTTTTTTCCTGTCTGGGCGCGTGTTGACAGAATCCTTCAAACCAGAATAATGTGAATACGAATGCAGACATAACTGTATGGTCATTTCATGTGTGTTAGTGATGATTTTTTTGTAACCCTTCAATGTTGAATCTTCTGCGCCACTGATAATCACAGGACTTGCGACAGCACAATTTCAACCTGAAATTAATTTGCACTTGCATCGTGTCTGCACTGTGTTTTTTTCCTGTCTGGGCGCGTGTTGACAGAATCCTTCAAACCAGAATAATGTGAATACGAATGCAGACATAACTGTATGGTCATTTCATGTGTGTTAGTGATGATTTTTTTGTAACCCTTCAATGTTGAATCTTCTGCGCCACTGATAATCACAGGACTTGCGACAGCACAATTTCAACCTGAAATTAATTTGCGCTTGCATCGTGTTTCACGAATCTGCTTGATAGTAGCTTGTTGTTGGTTGTAGCTGAAAAAGTTTGGTCTCCTTGGCCCGGAGGACAATCTCCCCATCCAATGTACTCGTTTGATCCAACGGATGTGGGCCAACAATGGCGATGCGATTAGTCAACAGTACGCTGGTACCGTTGCACTGAAGGTAAGTAGTTTAAGGTCGGTATGTCCTGTTGTATCAATACCTTTCGTATTCCACACTATTTGGATACCAGTGTGCATACATCTATAGTTGTCTCCCTTCGTGAAGTGCGTTGGATAAAAATCACCACCCGATAGGGTTGGTTCTTCTATACCCGAACATTTTCCACATGGAAATGAATAGACGCTCCATTCTTAATCGGTGCAATATCTTCTTTTCCCTTCTTGTGACTAGTCACAAGCACCTATAGGTTGTTCCTATTAAACATATCATCGAACTCCCTGACTTTTTTAGCGTTTGCTTGCCTGCATATATTGGTGTATTCTTTGGCTTTTAAAATTTCCGAATAAAAATAGATTGGTCCTGCTATCCGCTAACTGGGGGCCGTCAATTGGCACGTTGCAGTTGCTTTCTAAAAGCTTCTCTCAATCGCACGACTTGTGATGTTTTTCCCGATGCACTGATCTGTTTTCAGGCTCGGGTATTGGCCCCGTTCATAAAGCACGTACACACTTAATTCCAGCCATATCGATAGTGCGCTTGATCGCTACTGCAGAGTAAACCAGAAGCCTTGTGTCCTTCATTGCTTTGTCTCCATTCTTACAGTTTTGGACTCTTTTTTAGTTTTCCATATTTCAACAGGTGGTGCACACATAACAATAACTGTGGATCGGATTAGCGGATTTGATGTCTAGCGTTCAGTAGACAAGAGTATCAACGTTTGGTTGCAATTTACTTGCCAATCGTAGTCTCTGTATTATTGGTTTGGCTGCCCAGTACGACTGAACTTTTTACTTTCATGTACTGATGTCTGCATCTCAGGGAAAGGTGGGTTACCCAATGTTTCATTGGAAGACAGATGTTCAGGATTCGACTTCTTTCACCTGAGCAAACCGATGATGAAATAATAATGCGCTGTTATCACACTTCAGTTTTCAGTCCCCTTTCTTTGGACTATTTAACCTAACTTCACTAGAGATGGCTCGGTGTTTTAGGCGCAAAAGTGCTGCTTGGAAGGTTGACGGTTCGAACTCGACCTTGGCATTTTAGTTGCTCCTGTTTAAGACTGGGCAACCTGACAATATCTCAGCCCGTGTGCTTCCACCAGGTTTCGCGTGAGCCACTCACCGAAAGGGTGCCACAGCTGAACAATCATTTTATTGATATTCCGTTATTCTTCTATTACCACACGTTTACTGAATGCTCGTGTGTATGCACCAGAGTATTTTCACATCATTCCAAAACCGTGCCATTTGGAAACCAATGATCTCCTGATAGCAACGTTAAGTTGACTTGATAGAAAGTAAAAGGTATTTAGGTGGTTCGGGATGCATCAAACGTAGGAAGCGTTTTGCCTATCCACTGTTGTCGAAGTATACACCACTTGGCGCCACACAACATCACGCTGTCCTCCATGGATAACCACAAACTTTGAACCACAAAACTTGGCATTGTTCTTTCATAAAGTACGAAATATGTATGCTGAAAGGTCATCTAAATTACTTGCAGCATTCAACTTTTCAAACCATCGTCAGATGTGCCGGAGGTTGGAGACCCTCGTCTTTGCATCCACAGCTGAATATGCTCATAGTGAATAATAATTGGTTCGCACGAAATTGAATACAGTTCAACACGTCAATCATGGTGTCCAATCGATTTGTCTACAAGTCTAATCCATTTTCTGGCTGAATACTAGGGTTTCACAAAATAACATTCCTGATCACTTTAGGCAAATAATTTTTACCGTGCGGGACTAGAATCATTCCGTCAGTGTTGTACTGTACTTCAGTTTGTGTTTCGCAAAACACGAATCGACCAGCTGCGCAAGAGCTTGTTCGTTTTTTGTATCGTTCTAGGGTGACTATACACGAACGGGTGAACGAACAATGAATGGTCTAATGAGGGACGGAGTTTCATCCATGAATCGGTGAGCAGACTCTCTCTCTTCATCCGCAACTGTTTTCTTTTGATCTGATGGACTTTCGGTGTTGTTCCTCATTATTCTCTTAGTTGTAACATTAGGTTGTTTCAGATCGGGAAATGTGGTTGCTCTCCAGGGCGCACACCAACGGTTGATTTTTTGCGGATGGAAGGTTGTTGTTGTTGAGCTTTTTTATACTTGAAGAAGCCTCTTCTTGTGCTGTCCCAATAGAGTTGCACAAATCTACTGAGTCACTGGTGATCAGAAACGGAAACATTTAGTCCTTCTGTCTGCAGTGATCATGTGTCTGGTACTATACACATTCAAGGTGCACTACAACGCAGCGTAGATCTGATCCGTTTCGTCGAGTAATAAAAATAATGACTTTTGCAATGGGGAGGCAATCTAGCCTTACCAAATTTAATACAACCACTCGCTGTTGTGCTGTTCTTTTTCGAGAATAGTGTTTTTAAAGTTGTTAGAGTTCCTGATAGGCATTGCCAAAGATGGACATCGGCTGATCGGTGTAAACTTCACGAAACCGCAACAAATTCTTCCCTCCGTTGCAAAGTCGAACCTTGAAAAAAAAAACTCAGACTGGAGATGTACACGATGATGCTCATCGGAGCCCTACGGCTTTGTGTACTACTCATCAAAGACTGGAGAGTACACGATGATGCTCATCGGAGCCCTACGGCTTTGTGTACTACTCATCAACTGTTGTTCTTATATTTCCCAACTCTTACCGTGTATCCTCAGCTACTACCTTCGCTTTCGAGAGCTCGCTCGACAAGCTGCAATTGACCTGCTCCTGGGAAACGAGACCAGTGCAGAGTTGGCGCTAATCCGTAGCGGCGCTGGACTGGAAGCTGCCTCAATCCAGGTGAGAAATTGACGAGTTAACCGTCCATTTATCTTTCATTGTTGTCGTGGGTGTTAGCTGATTGTATTTTCACACTACCATTTCACCTGTAAGGCGCGTGAAGAGAGCCTACGACTCCTTATTCACCGTTGTCGTCAAGTTCTCCTCGAACGAGAAGAGACAAATCTAGCTGAATGTCTTCTCGGCTCTTACACTGAGTAAGTCCATCGATCTCCTATGGCTTTGAAGCTGCATCATTGCCTTGATTATGCATAATTTCACCGATCTCGAATTCCTATCCTGCTCGTTTTAGTCTCGCCATGGAGCAGCAGTTTGCCAACATCCTTCTGGTAGTATCCGACCGCTATCTGCATTTTATCCGGTAAGTGTGTTAGAGAAGCTTCCAACAAGATGTACGTATTGCGGGGACTTTCTGGTCTCCTTGTCGTTCTTTTGAAGAACTTGCGGTACTTATTCCTTCCACACAAAGGGAAAGAAATATTTGTGTTTACCCTCGAAACTCTTGTCGCTATAGCCCAACAACGACTGATTGTGACAGTAATATCGTTGTACCCGTCGTTATCACTACACGGAACACCCTTTGTCACCATGAATTAAGTTTTTCACTATCGAAAAACACCACCAATTGTTTTAGAGAAACTTACAGGTGTTGCATGTTTTAAGATGCCAAAAAATCTTTATAGTCATTGCCTAACGGCTTCCATCGAAACACTAATTAAGTAATCGCGAAATTCTTTTTCATGTCAAGAATACCAGTGGAGTTAACTGAATGATAAAATTACCAAATCGTGTGTTTGACGCTAACGGAACGGTCAACTTAAGATACTTCAGCGCTCAAATGTACCAGTCTTGACCCGGGCACGCGTCGGTTCTGCCTAGGTGGCACCCATTTCGCTACTTTGGTGTGAATACGGCCATTCTATTACAAGCGTATTTGTCTAGAAATAAGATCTATCTGTAGAGCAGTGGACTTCGGGGAGGCTACTCGAGTTTTTTCATGCATAGCCTTCTGATAATATCTTCACATAGTGAATAATCTTAAAATAGTATCTTCTGCATGACGACAGTATGTCGACATCGCATCTGCATCGACAGTATGTCGCGATAAAGTTTTCAAGATATGCTAAACTGTGTATAGCTGCTAATTGCATCCAGAAGAATGGGACTTGCTTGGATGGTCTTACAATTCGTATCAGAATATCTCAGTTAGACAATGCAGAAGACTGGAGGGGGTGAACAGGCTGCTGCTGTGGTTTATGATTTCAAGCACATAGTACAATCTGTCTCACCCTTTTCACTTGGGAACTCTTCAGATTCTCCCAACGCGCACGGAGTCAACTGTATCAGCTACAAACCTTTTGAGCCAAATGATGAATAATGCATTTAACTTGATTTCACTCGAATTTCGCTCTGATAGATTCCCCTTCCAGAATAGAGAGTTAATTTCATCGATCGGAACTCGTCGTTTCACAAAATTGTGAAAAATTGAACCATAATCTATCGAATAATTTCTGTGTGAGTCAAATCATAGATGGACTGTTCAAGGGTAGTCCGTTTTCAAGACAGTCGGTGTTGCTACGTTGCTCTATGTTGCTCACGTTCAATAAGCAAGATTTCCTTTTTTGATCACGTACCGAATCTCGAATGACGATTGTGTATGTAGGTGATTTTCACTTTCCATCACGGTAGTTTGGGTACAATCCATTCATTGGTGTTTCCTGGCCGAAGCCCGGGCTTCGAAAATCCATTCATTACCCGCTTTCTCCAAGCATTGCGATTCAATACGCACCGCACGCCAATCAGATGAGACATCCTTAACTAAATTGAGCTGCGCACTCGGAATGTTGCTTTGCATTCAAACTGACAGTTAAAGAAGGAAATATTGACCTTGCTTCACGGAAATCGGAACACACAAAATCTCTATTTGAGTGATTTTGCGCCAGCAAGGCCTACAGCTCATATTATTAGTATGCAGCTGTGCTTTCCGCTATCTGAAGGTCAATTTTCTTATTCTTGAGACAATTAAATGAGCTCATCCTTCATTCGCAAGTGTCCTGGAATCCGCGAGAATCATGATAATTATCTACTGCGGACAAAAATTGTGAACTTTACTTCGTGCTACACGAGTTCGAACCCAGAATTTCTCATCCGGTCAGTGAAACACACACAGCGGGTGTCAGCCTTTTTGTTGGTCTTTCAGATACTGGTCTTATGTCTACAACGTACATACTTCTGAAGATGGAGTTTCTATCTCCGTATTTTCAGTATACAACCTTTTGCTTCCTTCGCCTTATACACGAGAGGCGCACTGGTGTACCGTCGCTGCTGACTTAGGTAACGTCTTCATTGAGTCCCATATTCCCTTGATGGACTTCTATGAGGACCATATGGAACGCAGTACCCTCGTTAATGTTTTGGTACTAATGCTCAGATTCTCCATAACCACAGGTCGACCGTAACTCAGGTAAATACTAGTGACTGCATGACTTCTATCGTGAATTAAGTGAGTTGTATAAGACCTGAGTTTTCTGGACTATTTTCCCCCAACCGTGTTGTTTATTTATTGTTAGTAATTTAGCGTTGCCACACCACACTTTCGACACATTCATTTACGGTAACAAATGGTTATTCGGTTGTATTCGAGTGGCCAATTGTTGTTCAAATGTGGTCTTCAATTCTATTTTTAAGCCGATGGCTTCACTGTATAAATTCCTGATCTAGCCGGTCAGTTTTACAGACGGTTTTGAACTACCACCATCTCATCTAACTTAATCAAAGGTTTGCTGTTGCCCATTTGTGCCACAAATGGTCTTAAACACAGTAAATCGATGGGAATAGGCACACGGACCAGACCGCCCCGCAGTTCCTTAACTTCTAAACCATTTCACTGGGAGGAGGGACCATATTTCGTCTACCAGTGAACGTGTCGATGGGATGCCAACACCAACATTCCGTCTTTTTTTACGGTGAGTTTTTCATCCCGACTGCTGTAATACCTCCAGATACCATCCAGATGGGTGAAGTCGGTGGTGTGTTGTCTAAGTTTGACTAAAGACCAACTAATTACATGCTTTTTCTCTTTCACCTTTCTGATCGCATTGTCTCTCACGGTACCGCAGTGTAACTTAGATGCTTATTACCGGGTCTGTTTTACGGTGCGCAATGAAAAACACCGAAAAAGCACTTTCGCGGAAACAGTTGCTCGTGTTTGCTTCTCTACAGCTAAATTATCCTGGGCAAACTTGTTTGATTTACCAGTTCTCCGGACATTTTCTCAGTGGTGATTATTCTTTTCGCACCTCCTACTGTTCGTCGGTTCATTCCTTTTTCTCACCCGTTTTCAACCCCCACTCGAACGCTTTCTACCACTTTTCCCATCCAGGACTGACCTACCAGTCCGATCACGACGTTCCATCTACGCTCGGATACCGGTGGATGCAATCCAGAAAGTGGAACTTGGTATGTGTTTACGTGGTCAACCCGGATCCTACTCTGCTCGATAACTCGTTTATTTGCATAAGAGGCATTAAGCATACATTTCCGGGTTTGATTTAGACCGATGCTAAATTTTTTTGTTTGATTTTGGCGAAGGAAAATTGTGTAGATGGGGAATTATAAACACATTTTTAGCCAGAATTCTGTTCCTATAAAATCTTTGTTTTGTTGCAGGACGATATCTGCATCCTGGCATAGCCTCTGCTATATGTTACCTTCACATCTTGTTTTAAACATGGATCTTGCTTATTATGTTTGTCCTCGCGTCGTCTGTTGTATCGACTCTGTGTCTTGCTTGTTTTTCGCCCTTACAATAACCGAAGCCTTTCTTTTGACCTCCACAGGATTGGAACCTTCTGTTTTCCGGTCCCGTCGCCATGTTTTACGTATTTTCTATGACCCACCCAAAACGGATGTCTGCAGACCAGAATCAACCGAACCCACTCCAGCAGATCCAATCACTCAGCCGTGTAGTACAACTTCAGATTTGTCGAACGATTTTTTGAAAGTAAGTGGCATTATACGAAAGGCAAAACAACTATACATTAGCCAGTATTGAGATGACTTATAAATATCCTGATGAGAGAACGCAATGTAGGTGGTACCTGGTAAGGAGATCCAGTAATGACCGTAGTAAAATTACACAGTCCCCTCCCCCGGGTTCAGGCGCTTACCTATCCGTGAATGGGTCGCATAAATCGTACAAATTCAGGTCCATAGAATTCATACAGGAAGCTGAAAAACTCACCAGGTATTCTACTGTGAGAAGTTTTGTTACCAAATCGTCTTGTGATAAAGAGATACTCCTCGTTGCTTATGTACCAGGAGAACAAAAAGTCTTTCCTCAAGATGATTACCATATTCGAGTTCATAGGAACTTTGATGCCGCAATTCTCTAAGGAAGGATCGATCCTAAGGGCTGAAAACTGATCCATCATTTTTTCTCCTTTGATCGCCGGCCCATTATTCGTTGTGAATTATAAACCCCAATAGTCCAGTTAAGTTTAACAAGCATCTGCTGCGCGCCAATAGAGTTGACAGTCAGGCTTGCATGGCTTAGTTCCTGTCCAGCAGACGTGAGATTGTCTAACGCAGAAGGTATGTTGTCTGCTGACGCATTTTGAACATGTGAGCTGAAATGTTAAAAAATAGCACCGTGCCACCCCATGGGACACAAAAAATGATACATCTCTCTGCCGCTAAAAAAAGCTCAATACAGCGTTTACAACTGATAGCATCTGCTTGTTCACTCGGACCTCAACAAAATGTGACGAAATAGTGAGACATATGTCCAGGCTACGGTTTGTTCGGTAAAGTCCATTGGAACTATGTACAGCATACGTCCAATAACTGGGCGGTCTAACTGGAATTACTTTCCTCCAAAATTCCTTACTTCTGTTACAGTCTGAAGTTAAATCGGAGCCAGAGCAGAGGACTGCCGGATATAGTTCCACAACCGATTCGCATTCTGCATGTTCAGACAGTGAGTTGGCGGTTTCAGTCCACCCATCTGATTTCGGACGGCCTGAGAACATTGTATCCCGCAACGCTTCCGAGGACGGGGTACCAACATCCGTTCTCACTACATCAGTTCAGTCACCGCCCAAGTTCCGGGAGCGACAGGATTCTGGTGGTGAACGTCTTAAACCTCCTTCTCGTTTACCGAAACCCAATTTGGGGAACAGACACTTTCTGGCATTTATTCAACCTAACGTCCGACTTTTCAATACGATGCTAGTTCCCGTTCCCCCAGGGGATGAAAGTTTCCAGGCGCTGCGTGTTGTCGGAGCCATGATTTTGGTGGCCGTTAGGGCTACTGGTAAGTAACATTTGTGTATTTCACATTTTTTCCGTATCCCATCTTGACTCGCGTAACACTCTTCCCGGTAAGCTGGGCTTGTTTTTCATATAAACTTCATCATTCATTTCACCGTTTCATCGTCATTCCTCATTCCGTTCTATCACCACTCGAGATGAAATCATCTGCACGTTGAGTCGATTTGCGCTATGTGTAGAAGATGTGGTTATTGCGAGGAGTTTTCAGCAACCTTATGAGTAGTGCATTACAAAATACATATGTGGTTATTCCCATTTTGGAGTACCACACCCGTTTGAGAATCAAGAAATTGCCATATTTTCGATTCTACTGAGTGATTGTAGTGAAACATGTCCGTACAATCAACCGACCGTATCAGTATGCGACGCTTACTAGATTGGTACCCCAAAGCACCAAAAAAAACTGTGTAGCCTGTCTATTTTTTGCCGCCTTAGCGTCACTTTTTACTCCATAGGTGAGCTAATAATCCGTGCTCATGTGTTTCACATGGTTATACCCCTGTTAATTTTATCTATTTCTTAAAGGTCGCAATCTCGAACTTAATGAGTATCCGACCCGAGTGAAACTCAACCGTGTACGGCGAGCTTCTCTGCCGAGTCTTTACCAGCCGCCCGTAAATCTGGAAGCCTTGTTTGCAGACATTAAGTTACCCGGTGTACGAAGAGACTCTCGACGACCTGCACAGGTTACACAAACCGATGAGCAGTTTCTGGAAGCGGAAGATGGATGTTCAGACGATGAAGTAGATAAAAAGTCTACGAACCGGGAAATATCCGAAGTTGACGGTTTGCCGAGCGGCGTAGATCTGCTGAAGCAGCGTCTCACCAAATTTAAGGTTCGTTTTAGCAGTTTAGAAGGTGCAATTATCACGTACGATGTTTATTTGAAATCCCTCTTCTCCCTTTTGTGAATTAATAGTCGGATGTGCTTTTGAGTCAGTACCATTTTGTCGTACAATAAGTTGGGTGAAAAACCAGCTGTTGTGTTGAGTGTCGACATTATTACAAAGACAACTACTGAATTTGTGTAGCTTATCAACCTTGTGGCCTTACTTTTCCCGTTAGCGAGATGGCCCAAGTGGTTAGAGCCCGAATTTACTGACCGGAAGGTCCGCGGTTCGAATCCGACCTCCGCCACTCGACTTCCCCTGTCTAGGCTTGGGCAACCTGGCAGTATCCTAGCCCTCGTGCTTCCTTCGGGTGGCATGGCAGCTAGGCACCGGGAGGGTGTTACAGCTGAACGCTAGCGTTTTCCTGTGAGTTGATCTGTACTGGTTTATATTGCGTTGCGTCTCATTTTAGTTAGGCTTAGACCAATGGTGAACCGACTTTCTGGATCTGGTTGAAAGCTACCCTTCTGTAGAAGTTACGTCTTTCGTTTACTTATTGAGAAGGATCGTCGTAATAAACGTGGTATTTCCGTAGGCTGAATCCTCTCACACAGTTTTTCGCTATGAAATACACAACTGAACTATCCCAAATAAAATGTGGTTTTCTATGTTCTCAACAAAAGTCATAGTTGAGATCCTTCCTTTTAAATATGTTTACACTGATAGAACATCACCATGAGAGGCTGGTTGTCAATTTCGTACGGACGCAAGCGGCTGAATACATTCACTATATATGGGAACACTCTAATGCCCTGCTTGTGCATAAACAATACATCCATCCAACAGGGCACTGATAATAACCCATCGAGTGTTGGTGTCTGTAGATCAACTGCCAACCCCAGTGAACAGGTCAGCAACAAACGACCACTCTTCCACATTTTATGGGCACCATTACTTCCTATCCTGTTGTTTTTACGCATTTCCGCAAATGAGTGTGTGGTGATTGAACTGGCCAGGGTCACATGTTCATGTTATGTTTTTGCTGTTTTACTTTTCCGGTTTCCAGCTGCCCAACATTAGTCTCAAACCTAGTAGACACACTCCAGCCTCCAGTCAACCGGCAGCAGTTACGTCCGTGGATTCGGCTAGCCCGGGGGTGACGGGAGAGTCGCCTAAACGACCACTTTCGGTATCTGATCGATTCTTTTCTGAACTGAGTCGAGTACTTGAACGACCTTTACTTAGCGGGGGGAGACTGTTCCCCAAACAACAGATGGACGAAGTGTCTGACAATCGCAGCGAATCGTCGCCACAACCCAAGATCCGCATATCTGGTCCCCACATGCACGATGTCGGACCATACGAAAAAATTGATGTGGAAGAAGGTAGGATCACTTCGCAAAACTTAGTTGCATAGTACATTTTGCTCACCTAAACAATCGACCGTTCTTCTCCTATATTTTATCTTTAATTGCTTGCACTTGCAATCTGACCTTAGTCCAGTAAATATGAATTGATAAATTTTTGATGAACTATGAGTCTAATCTATGAGTAACGGAATTCCTTTTTTTCTTGCTGAAATATGCAGTATCTCACTATGTTCACTGGACATATGGACTGACATCCGCTCCCTTACTGCTTTGCCCCATTATGCAGCCTTTTCACACCAATATTCATGCGGCAAACTACTTTTCGACGATGTCCCAGCTTATCGCACCCCGGTTACCTTTTCTAGCTCGTTGATATATACCTTCAGTTCACCCAAGTCATAAGAGCGATCTGTCGGGGATTTCAGCTCACTTGCACTAAACCCATACCAGTCGTTCTGTCACACTGTCGTCACACCGAGTTCTACGAAGCCTAATATGCCCTGTTGTGAAGTGGAATGTATTCAATCATCGAATTTCTATACGTGGTTTGCTGCCTAATCCCCTTAACCCCCTTTTTTCGAGAGAAATCTGAGGAACTGAAAAGCGATTCCTTACAAAAGAATAGGCTAGTTTTTACACCACTTATAAGCCCACAGTCGTACTCAAATCGGCTGTGAGTTCATCACTGTACAGTTTTGATATACAAACTCTATAAGTTGCATCCATACAACTCACCATGTTGTGTCAGCAAAGTTCACTTTAATAGGACTAAACAGGTCTCGCTTTCCATTCAGCTAGTCTCAATAAGCGTCACAGTGTGTGGTACTTTCAGAAGGGTTTTACTAAGATGGAACCACGCTTCTTGTGTGTCTACTGTTTCCTCTTCTTCCCTAGGGATTTCGAGAGTATGTTTCATGGAAGTAGGACCGTGAAATTTTGTTGTCCACGATGATGATAAAATAAACCGAAATGAAAATTATCATCGACTGTTTTGACGAACCGCATTCAGCCTCGAAATGGCTTATTGCTTGCTTCTGACTAAACAGAACCCTACTTGATCAAAGACTAAAACCGAAATGTGTACTTGTCAGTACAGATAAGGAAATTATACAATGCTCCGGACGATATCCCCAGGCGATTGAGATTGTCGTAATACGGACAGATTTGTCTGGTTCCTTAGTCCCGTAATGAAATGGGGATAGTATTTCAGCACAGATCTACACGATCGCTTGCTTCGATCTTCTGTGATCTCCTGAATGCTTATAGATAATTGAATTGTGCTTACTATTGTTCAATAGCGTTTATCGTAAACGCCAAGGGACATTCGTTTTTCTTGTGGACAGCAATGTGACAAACAAGTCTGTCCATCGGACAGTTCATACCCGTCAACATACTCTACATTGACTTCATCATATAATCAACTTTCGTGGATAGGATGAGGCATCAGATTGCCGCTTGGATGCTTTAGACTAAAACTTATAATTCTGGACACTGGTTTTTGAATCCATTGTTTGATATCAGTATTTCGAACGAGCTTTTCATAGTGCACAGACGAGATTAAACGATGAGTGAAGCAAAAGCAGGTGGACAGTCAAGGACAAGTGAGGGCTGAAAAGCGAACTAGGGAATAAGCGGCAAGTTGATAAGACTCTTTGGCCTCGTCACACAGATCTTTGAGCTCGCAAGAGTCGTCCAGTTGTGCTCTGCCAGGTAATGGCTCACAGCTGATCCTACCTAGCGATTGATCAATTATGTGTTAGCTGATTGGTCTGTAAATCGTTTTCAGTCATTTATTTATTCTTCACTACTTCAAAAAATACTAAGTCTTTTACTCGGAAGACTGGAGTTGTGTTATTGTGCTTGACTGGTATCTGTTTGTGGCACCATCGGAAAAGTAATCGCCGAAAACCACCGATTCGATTTGGTTGAAACCCCCTTACAAATTGGTCTGCAAACTGACAGTCACACACATGCAAGAAGATCGTGCGTATGACCAGATAATCTCTTCTGCGTATGGAGCTATCTGTATGAGGTGACTACCAAATTCGACTGAAGTGTGTCGCATGTGCGGCACCTCGGTAAACTCAAACACCGAATCAATAGCTAATCATGCGAAAGGAATCGGAATGTATCAACGAGACACTGATTGTCAACGAAGAACAGAGTTTTTAGTAAAAGAAACAACCAATATAGATGTAGCACGCTACTCATGAGGTTGCTGAAATCTTTCCGACAGGCGACAACCTGTTGGCCTTTCTTGAGGCTCATCGGTGAACGAGTTTCCTTCGACGGTATGTTGTACTTGAACCCGAATTGCACGAAACTCGACAAATGAACTAGTTTGCTCACCAGTTTAATTTTTAATGTGAACTCATCTGAATCCCTCGTTCATAGTGTGGAGAACATCGTAATGGAGAGATTCAGCTGGATTTCAAGTACTTCTGCCGTAACAACTAGAGTACTATGCAAATGGGTGTATTCATCGAAACAAGTAGCTTGCTGTTCCACTGAGACGCCACAATTCTGCTTCTAATAAGAGCTAGTTTTGCCATTTATCATGAAAATCTGTAATTTGCATGATGTTCATCAGGTGGTATTGATACTCGAACCACCATACGGTGCACTGAAAAAGTTATTTTAGCAGATTGGTATGTTTGAATCGGTCTGTTCTCATGCACAGTGTGCTCAAATCAAAAGCACTCCATAGCCAACTTCCATTTACAATAGAAACTCAGGTCGTTTCAATACACCCCCCATCCATAACTCCGATCACAGATCATTTGTGCCTGGCAGCCACTGCTTTACTACATTCAAGCACGAGTGAAGTGTAGCTTCAACCTATTCGGAATTTGTAACTACGTCAATAAGAAAAACATTTTCAGCGTGCACCCTCGGTCACGTTTCTAACTTACTCCCCAACTGTTCCCGCATTGTTGTCCTCTAAATTTGGATATTGGAGCTAGACTGCATCTATGCTAAATCTGGCCAATTCGTTACATTCCCACCGCAGCGTCACGTGCTTCTGGCACGTAGATCTCAATCCCCGCCACACCCGAAAAATAGAACTATTCGAAGTCAATGATCTGATCGGGCGGTCTCTTCCAACTCGTGACTTTCAGTCCCTTATTCTCCCTATCCTCGATGAACGAAGCCGCAGCAAGTGGAACCACTGCACTTTGACGCACCGTTTGTGAGCGGAAAAACTTAACCGAACTGCTCTGTCTTTGGTCGCATATGCACTCATACCTAGCGATAGCCGGTCGTTGGGTTGAAATTAGCCAAACTAGCCAATCATTTGCATAACTTCACGTAAACCTAATTGTCATCACTTGGTCTTTGTAGGCTATACGTGACCTGACCTTTGTCCTGGCTCCAGTAACTTCGGCTCCCGTTTTCACAGAGACGGGCGGTGGTTTGTTGGATGAATAAAACACTGGTTTGGAGGCCTGTGTTCGATCGATGTTTGCTTGGTTTGTGTGTTGATAATCCATTTCACCGCCAATACAGTGATATATAGATATAGTACATTTTATCAGTCCTACAAAACATGAAGCATGCTAAATGATTTCTTTTGGTGACATCTGTAATGGATTTGGTGTATACACTCACTTGGAAAGTTTGGTTAGGGGCCGTGAACAACTTTCTCGAGGAGTCTGGACATGAAGTTGGTTGCCGAATGTGCTTGGCCTCTCTATTGCTTCTCAGCCTCTGGCTGGAGGACGTAGCGAAAAACTCAGAATCCACAGCCCAACAACTGAGTTGGTGTGTGTGTACATTCTGCTAAGTAGTGTTCCCTGATTATTTTGACGGAGGGACTCAGGTGAAGCGCTTGCGAAGCCCCAACGGAACTGGGAACGTGCATGATGATCATTCGATAACTTGATCTCGAGCTATAGCAGCTTTTATAACATAAGTTGGCTAGGTTACTAGGTATCACTGACAGTGTTGTTGAATTTGCCTTCCGAAAAGTCACCATCCTGTAGTCATGGGTGGGCATGTATCCATGGGCCAGTGGGTCATGTCCAAGGAGCCTTGGTTTCTATTTTACGCCTAATCCGCTACGTCAGTGACTGATTAAGGTGGCTATGGATCAGAAACATGGGTATATTTACGTGTCACAGCGGACCAATAGGTAAATACTAAGTCTCTTGTTGCTTAGATCCAAGATCTGAGCAGTTTGCTGCCAGCGACGTTGGTGCAATACGTTATTTTCTGCTGTAATTAGTTTCAACTTGTGTTTGATTCCACTTTGTGTTGGTATGTTACATCGTTAGCGTTTAGCCAAGTCAAGTTCTCATCTCAGTTCGATAGTGTGCGAATTCCAGCATCGTGCTTGATGGTATCGCTCATTTGTTCCAGTTGATCGTCCTCAAAGGGCGCGCAACTTTAAGAACAGTCAAAACTTCACTCTTAGAAACACCGTAACTTAAGAAGCATAAGCTTTGAGTCTTACGGATGTAGTTGTTTTCAACACACAACTGAACGGCTTGAGGGTGATAGAGTTTTTCTAATCTACTACAAATGAAATGAACGAGATAAAGGATGAACAAGAGAAGAGTGGCGAAGTGCTATGTTAGGCGCATTTGATTCGCAGGCTAACCGGTGAGCCAACAGATGAAGTTACCCTATTTTTTTCCTATGGTTTACGCAAACTGCGCAGTTATGTTTATTGCGGCAGGTGGTTCATAACTGAAAGGATTGCACAACTCTCTGGGACCTAGAACTACTGACGTAAAACAACCCTACCGATCTACACTCAATCACATGTCCCCTCCCACTAAAATAATTAATGTATGCCTTAAGATATTTTCGAGCAGGTCCGAATGAAATTCGCGCTCTAATAGGGTTTCGATCCTATCGACCACAGGCATTATATTACTACCAGAAAAAAACTCTCCCTCCATTCATTCAAGATGATCCTGGAAACACAATTCATCTGTCCGGCAGCTTCCCAGCAGATGAGGCGGAGAGCGACACAGAAGCCGTTGAAGAAGATGATGATGGCGAGGAAGAGATGGAGGAAGATGAGCCAGCAGACGACGAGGAAGACGCAAGTTTGGCAATGGCCATCCGAGACCAGTCACTAGTCCCGTGTCACTGCACCCAGCTGGCGACTACCTGCTCCACGTCCAAGCATTATCGATCCAAATCATGTACAGATGCTGCTTTCATTAAAGATAATCAACGTCTCCTCAGTCTCGATCAAGTTTTCTTGAGGCGAACTGGGGACATTCTGAACATTTTAAGTAGGTCATCCACTCACGTGCACGACACAACCGAATCGGTTCAACCACAAAAGCCTTCCATTTCCTCGATAGAACGGGTAAGAATTTGCATTTTATTCCAAAAACACGTTTTGTTTTCATTATCTTCCTTCGGATGACTGTTTTTAACACGACCAAGGATGCTCTTCAGCTTAGTGAGCCCTGTACTTCACTATGAACGTTTTCGCGGGACAACCCTGATGCAACTTTTTGGAATAGGATATGTGCGTCAATTATTATTATTAGAATGTTGAACCTTGCATAACAATCCTTGCGAGAAAGACTCCTTCCCATATAGAGTGTTTAGGTCCTCCTTGGGGGTGGTCGCACATTGGGTCATAGCTGGCAAGAAGCGTAGTCCTGACTGTACGTAGATTCTTTTCGGAGAAGTCTAATGGGATATAGTGCTTAAGGGACGTAAGTAACTTGTTCCAACGGTATTTACTTAGGTTCGTAATGTGTAAATGGAAAGCAATTTGCTTTTGTGATCACTATGCCTGAATGTACCAAAGGACAGAATGATCCAATCACATTGCAGTCTCGTTCACCATTCTCTGTGTGATATGGTCCAAATATGTATGTTAGTGCATTGCTCTCAGTGCATAAATATGTTGTCAAGGATGATATCCTATGCAAGTAGATGTGGCATTGTTGAGATGCTGATACAAAGAGATTCAAAAGCATCGAGCCGCCGTGGCTGTTCTGCACTGAACGGATAAGTCACATTTATGATTTCCAGAGTGACATTTTTGTATTGTATTAGAGGACGGTTGCATGGACGATATCCCCACTACCATCTGGGCTTTGCTCAAGATCCGGCGACGCATGGAGGTTGTAGTTTTCCAAGTGGAGCCTCTGTTTATCTGGTCTCTTCACTGCCCCTCAGAGAGTACTTTCTGTTCATCTACGGATGAGCCCAAAGTAGTCAAGGTAGGTGTTTTGCGAACCCATGTACATCGTTGAACTGTGACTGAAAACTCTTGCGTCCTATGCAGTTAGTGGATTGTTTGAAATCTCACAGACAGCCCGTCCCACTTTTCGCTTTGACTTAAAGATATACATAACAGTGGGGCAATAAACAAGATTTAACGGATATCGCTTTTCAGAGAAGTTTGAAAAGTGTTTGGCTACCAGTCCACAATGAATGGAAATTTCCAGTACTCGCTTCTAACCATAGTCGGCCAAACAACAGATCTGATAGTTTTACTCTTCTGAGACAAAGCCGTCTTGGATAGGTATAAACCGAGTATGATAGTCTTGATGTTTGCTCAGTAACTTGTGTCTGCGACATACGACAAACGAAATTGACCATTCTCTTCTTGACATCTGTTATCGGCACTTATATATTGCTGATAACAGCCCAACCTTCTTCTGTGTGTTCTTTTGTTTTGGCAACCGCTGAGCAGCTTGATTGTGATAACGAAAAAATGTTCCTGCTTTATTCAATTCATCGAATTCTTTTACACGACTAAACTTTTGAAATCTCAGCTATCACAGGAAAAATACAAAAGTGCACAACACGTGTAACACAGTCAAAAGTCAATAGACAAACGTCCTCAAGCCTGGTGGATAAAGTCAATCTGAACACAAACTAGAGAGGACGTAATTCTACTACGAACTAGTTTTGTGTCGCTGCCTACTGATCAGTGAACCATTCGTGAGCTTTAGTGCTGACTTTGGTGTAGTGTCAATCAACTAACCAGTTTTAAGGACATTTCTGGTGGTCGATACTGGCGAAGTCTCATCAGTTGTCAATCCAGTGGCCTTATTCATCAAATAGCTGGGAAACTGATCGAACTCCGTCGTCTAGATTGGTTGTTTTGGGCTATCTGGTCGATGTTTTCCGTCCCTATGCAACGCCTTCGATCCGTGAAGATTGTGGAGTATTGACAGACTATATCAACCAGGTTGGTACGTCGACGAATTCTACGGTGTCCCGACGAATCATTTACTTTCGGGAATGTAGTTGCTGATGCTAGTATACAATTTTCGACTTAAGCTTTATGAAGTGCTTGCTAGAAATGACACCATCCAATACCTGTCAAGAACAAATGACTCCATAGGATGTTCTGGGAGTCAATAACACAAGCTGTTTTTTTTTCATTTGAAGAACTTGGGTGAGATCATCTGCGTTCTTTTCACCTTCTTACCACTAATGAAAGACTCTTTCTTCCCCAACCTGATTTGGTCATGGTGTAGTCCATTTGGCCCTATAACCCTTCAACCCATGTGTCATTCCCTCGCTTCACGCTTGTACCCGGGAATACACGGTACCTGGACTGGGTGCTCTAAATCCGGGTACGTAAGGTGGGAAAGAAATTTGAGAAAATAGTTCAGCGATGGGTTTCTGTACACTACTCCCCGTTCTCATTTGTATTCTTAAGGCGGTCTGTTTCATGACTGAACGTTCAAGATGCTGTTTGAATGTACCACAGTCTTACTTCAAACCTGACCGTCATAGATTCCCCAGGTTTACAAATCATTTACCAGCCTCTATTTGTAACTGTCTCGTATGCAAATAACGTTGCTCCATACCGGGGTCAATGCTTATGAGTGCAAATCCGTGGATTTGACCACATGATCGATCAGCCTGTGACCTGTGTTAACCGTCGAGATATGATGTGGTTGTTATTGGACACGATTTAAAGGTCATCTGTATGGTCGTTGGCTTGTTCGCTGAGCTGGACAATTTGGTTGCAAACGTTTCGTCACCAATCGAGGTGACATCATCAGTGCGTAGTTGTGCGTAGCGGTGGGTTAGTAGTTGTGGTCATCTATATGCCCTTAGGTTCGATCAGGGGCCAACTATTCTAACACAGTTAGATAAACATGTGACTTTATAACAATGTTACCTGTGTAATACTCATACAGTCAATAATGTTCCATTCGCGATTATCCAAAACCCACATCATCAACAGCTATGATATCTAATATGATATATGATTGTGTCGTAATTTCTATTTACCTCATCTGCTCTGGATGTCTTGCTCCACTTTAGACTTGCCAAAGGCAAAACCTGAAAATAGGGTCGTGGCTCACGGTTCATTTACTGGTTTATCGCTAGAATTTTTCTGACGTTTTACCATCACATGTACTAAGCTTATTCTTTTTATCCGTTTTCTCTCATATAAACATTCCGATATCCACCTCACTCTAGCTACTGAGTTTGTTTTGTTTTCAGTTCAGCCGTCCTTTTACTTAACCTTTTCATTGAAATAGGGCTGTCAGTTTTTCGGATAACAAATTGATATTCCTGTATGCGTTTTGGAAAACAAACGATGCATTTTAATGAAGGCGCAATTTCCAACTTATCAGTGAAGACGAAATATGTCAAATATTGTGTCTGACTCGAATTTAACGTTATTTACCGTTGAACGCTGAGCCGGAGTTGTTCAGCTGATGCCCCCGTATAGGTTTGATGGGGCAAAACCAAGTAGATAAGCTATCCCACGACCAACTTGGGCTCACTCAAATTGTGGTCTGATAATTGGAAACGGAAGACTGTGGTCGATCAACCACTGGGAAGTACAATCGCTTTGCCAAAGTGTAGCAGAGTGGGCTAATAGAAATAGATTCCGGACTACTATCAACTGGGGGTATCGAGTTGAGTCCCGGTGGAGAGTATTTGGGGAGGGATTTTCCTAGAAAAATGAAGTAAATTTCATGTGGTTAAGTACCCATGAATTCTTGGTACTTCTCAATGAAAAGAATGATAAACTTACTTTTTCTGTTGGAAATCTATCACAATATTATAGAATGGAAACGTATTTGGGAAATTTTAAAATGCGAAGTTTGATTGTAATAAAACCTGAACGAAGACACACGTAGCGATGTGTTTCCTTCTGTCCCATTTGAAAATCGCCTAATATTTGTCGTATCCGCTCACCACACGTTCAGTACAATTGTTTGGCCAGAAAAATTTCATATGCACCACCTAGTTAAGTGGACAGAATATAGTCCTCGGTTCTCAACCATTAGGTACGGTAGTTATGGCCAATTGGCTCATGCTAGTGTTTGCATTTTATTGATAGTTCCACTACGCGTGCAACCTTCCTTTTTAACTGGTCGCTCTGCTATGTTGCTTGTTGCGCCACATCGCAAAAACTGCTGCCGGCACTCAAACGGCTTCACCGCATCCGGGTCCCCCTCCCTTTGGCTGTCATGGTAACAGCCCCATACAAGTCGCAACAGAGAGCTTTTGTCAATATGGGATTACACAGGAAAACAGCGTGGTAAATTTTTACCATTTTGGATTCCTTTTATAGCAGTTTGCCTAAATCGGTCGTTCCGGACGAAACTCAAACGCCGCCCCATTGGTTTGATGTCATTCAACATCACTGTCCGCACTTCCTACCACAAAAACCACGGCAATTGTACGCTCTAGCGTAGCTAGTTTAAATCACCCATCCACACCTTACCACCTATCTGTGGGAGAAAATATGTACAGTATAGTCATCTATGGAGCGGCAAACCCGTCTATTAATATCCTTCAACTTATTGCTACTCCCCAGAATGACTGCTCAGGTATATCAGTCGGGGACAAGGTTTCTTAGTGGTTCGGTCTAACTATAATGATGATCCTGCAGATCAATCCCAAACACCTGTTGCTAGGGTAACGGTTATTAGCCGTTTCGATATACGGAGTATGAAAAACGAAATAAATATATGTGGTCAAAACCTGGGGGTAACTTTGATACAAACACTGAATAATTCGTCTAAGTGGACTAACATGTTGATGGATTTGTTTTATTTAGCCTAACGATTTCTGGGAAGCAGCGAAACAAGGGCACGACGTGTTCAGCTTTTCGAACATTTTATTCTTAACGTTCAACTTATTGCCCCAGTGATGCAGCAACATATCTCCCTAATATTAGCCGTCAATCCCTCAGTGTTCAGGGAACCGGACCGCAAATCGCTCCTGTTGTATCTAACTAATGCTTTGACTGATTTCACTTGATAGAGACTCTGCAAATATCAAATAGTAGTTCTAAAGTAACCTCCGACCAACAAGGCTTGTAGAGTGAGGCAAGAAGCCAATTCGATTCTACTTTTGATATGA